TACCAAATGCCACGAAGCGTCCCAAGCAAGACTTCTTTTATCATCTGGTGCCCCAGACACCACCCCGCTTCGAAAAGATTGTGAAAAGGCGAAGACCCCCTAGCCTCACTTCCTACCTGACAGAAATCTAATGTGTTACAGTACTCCCGGGAGGACCCCTCAATTTGCCCCTGTGCTGCAGCCGCCCCTTTGCGGGGTCGGCGGCAGCGGCGGCAGCCCTTAAATAACTACAAAGACTAGTCTTACTTATCATTTTCCCTTCTGTGTTATTGCTACTCTTACTGCTCATACTAGTACCACAGCGACTACTGCCACGACGACTACAACAACGAGTGCTATTGCTATCAGTATTGTTTGGTTGTAATTATCAGAGTCCCAATGGGTACTTGGTGGTTACAACGGCAGACAGTGTTGGATTTTGATAACAAAGCCACAACTGCTCATGGCTTCGAGAAGCCATGTTCATGCATTGTAGTGGCGATTCTTGCTCATCTAGCTATAGTCACCCTTAAGTAGATAGAATATGGGGTATATGGGAACCTTGTCATTTTATGGGGGGGTCCCCTTCCCCCCCGAAACCCTACCTCATCTTTGAGACCTCTAGCCCCTCCTCCTCGAACCCCTCAACCCTGCATCCTGAATTCATGCATCCATGCTCCAAGCCCCGAAATCCCTCAATCTTACCTGCAACCCTACACCCTAAACCCTCAATAGTAGTTTCCATTTTGTTTTCCATTATCCCAATACATCCCCAATATACTCCCTGTATAACCCTTAGTAGCTTCCATTATCCCAGTATAACCCCAATAGAACCCCTATATAATCCTAGTTTCCATTTCATTTTCCATTTTCTTTTCCATTTGATTCTCCACTATTGGGGTAGTATTGGGTACGCTCCTGAAAGCCTCTGTGCTTTCCAGGCCCCGGGCCATCTCCAGCGTGCCTCTTGAATTGCCCAGGGTCATGCCCAGTAGCCGCGCTGAATGGTCCTGTGTGGGTTGCTGAGGCTTTAGGGTTTTGGGTGTCATGTTTTGGGTTTGGGGCTGCAAGGTTCTGAGGATCAGGGAACGGTCTGAATTTTGAGGTCTTGGCTCGGTGGTGCAAGGTTTGGGACTAAATTGTGGGGTTTATTGCGGGGCTCCTCGCATTGAGTGGCGTAGGGCTTAGGACGATAGTACTAGTACTCTGGATCCGAATATTGCGAATGATACGTCGAAGCCTTGGATGCTTCCACCAGGAAGACCCACCACGCGACAGGGGGGAGTGGAATCATCGCTGGAAACATGCGATTCAGCGAAAACACTGTAGAAATTGCACCGGGCCGATGTTGTCTCCAACTGTTCACACCTCTTCTGCGTGCTCGTATGGTAAAACTCGTTTTGAATCCCCGTGTCCCAGCTAGTCCAAAGGCACAAACTCCTCCATTCAGGCCACACCCTTTCAGCTCCAGATTTGCAGGAACCTAATCATCCACAGGGTGTTCTTCCTTCCCCCCCGACCCTTGCCCCAGCCTGTGGTAAATCTACGGCCTATGCAAAAGTCTTGGCACGATGCAGTCAGCTTTTCAACAGAGGTCAGCGTTTCCCATCCATCAGAACAAGATGATGGTAAGAACACGCTGAGCAAAACGATGAACGGATCGCAACTTACTTCGTAAGTGCAAAACAGACGTTGGGGCAAACTGCCCAAGCAGCGTTACCCTCTCCACATCTATACAAGCAAGAGGTAAGCAAACAGCATTCCACTGATGCTCTCAAAACTCCGCCCAGTTCAGACAACCATGGTCACCGTCTTCTTCAGCATGTCCGCAGCAGCCTTTCTTGCATTCATCGCCTTCAGAATGTTGGAGTAGTTCCAGGTCAGGTCCTCTGCAAGTCTCCACGGCTGAGGTGAACTAACCCACGCGGGCAACTCTGGGCAGTGCACGGCGCCCTGGCTGCTACTATTACAGCTACACAACCCTAGCAAAGGTAAGATAACAGCTCAACCGGTGGGACCTGGGCAGACTTGAGCTCGCCGGTATTGCGGTCAATCTGCTCGTTCATGCGCATTCCATTGGACAGATACTTTTTCATCAGGAGCCTTGCGCAGAGACATCTCACATGTTTGCAGTACCTGTGGCGTGCCCTGCACTTCCCCGCACATGCAGAAAAGTGAAGTTGCGGCGTCGATGTTTGAATTGTGTTGTTGGCTGTTCAATATAGTTTGGTGGTCGAACCCAGTAAGATTGCATTCTTCTAAGCCCAAAAGGAGAACATGATCTGACTCTATGTTGGACTGCGATGACGACGATAACCCCACTAAAAGTCCTACACAATTCAAAGTTGAAGGTTTGGAGTCCAGGGTCGAGGCTTTTGACGCTCGAGGGGGCAAACAGTCCCTGAGACAAGCCCCTCAAAAGATGTTCATCAAAATTCGCGTCCCTTCTATCAACTCATTGTTTCACTAGTATGGCCACTCTAACCACCGGTGAGCAATTGCTGCTTCTGACGCCAGAGCATTGAAACCACAATTGATCGCTTCATGCTACTGACGGCCACAGCGCATCCTGGTCAACCACATTCTCTCTAGTACCAATATCGATAGTATCTATATACAAAAACAATACTTTGCTTTCATACCATACTAACCTAAGTATAGTATGCGATCATGTCTGCGACTGGTGGATCTATTGCTATTACCATCGTTTCCACAATTTTTCCACATGACTGTCACCAAAGAGGACATGGGGCAAAAGGGCGTCACCAGCCCCGAGGAGGTTCTGCGGTGTTGGCTCACGGCCAAGAAGGTCGGATAGCAGCTGCTTGGCCTTATCCAGCCAAGCAGTTGCTAAAATTCTGAAGACTACAATATAATGTAGTAGTAATCATAATAATACTAATACTAACCATAGTAGTAATAATGATAGTAATAGTAATAAACATCATTATATGAAGTCCTTCTGTTCTGATAGCAGCCACAAGAACAAAGCGCGCCCTGGACTTCAGGCAACAAGTGATAGAATGACCAGCCATTGGTCTGGGGATGACAGTACGGGGGTCGGCAGCCAGTTTGAAAAGCGCAGATCATACTAAATGTGATGCAAATCATGGAGAAGAAGACGCTCTTACCATGCCCTGAGGCCACGAGGAAAAATCCCCTTTTCGAGAAGCCTCCGCTGCTGGGGGCGTGTGGGCTGCAGCTGCTGCCTGCAGTCAGCGCAACAACCGTACACCAAGGCAAACACAACACCCACCATCACCACGACAACCACCACCACGAACATCACCACAAGCAACACCACCAATGCACTGGCAGAAGCACCAGCAACAGCTGAACTCAGCAACAACCTCACAAAAATGTCCTGCACTTGACCCTCCAACACCTGGCGGTAGAGCAGCGTTGATGCAGAGGCCGTCAGCAATACCCACGGATTCCTGAGAGCCATCACGCTGAATCATGCTAAGGTTCATCTACCAGTTTCAGCAACAGGATGCAGGTACTAAGAATTGGAGCCTACGGCATTTGGGGGTCGACCAGGAACCCAGGCATTCAAAAGTTCTGGCGGGTGCTGCATCTGAAAAACCATGCGGTACGCACTCCTGACACACAGAGGTGGATCAAACCCAGACTCTAAACCCTCAATCACCACATAAAGCCAGCCGTAGCGCCCCCCAGCATAGCTGTCACCTTCATAGCGACCGAAGAGGACTCCAGGCGTACCCTTCGAAGCTGCCTCCTGATTTAGGGCATAGCCTCAGTCAGATCGGGGCTTCTCAAAAGGGGGAGGGTTCCTTCAGCAAGCCGACAACGCAGGCCGTTCTGTCGTTACTACTGCTTAAAGATCGCTGCTGTTGCCACTATGGTGGTTGGGCGCAATCCTGCATGGTTACAGGTATGCCGCCCTTGCCAGAAGTCACTGGTTCTTGGTGTGTCGGCTCATGCAGCATTTGTCCATCAACGCTGGTTCCATGATCCTTGACGAAATTCTTAGGTGAATTACTGCCATCAGTAGAATCGTGAAGTTCGCCAATGCCACGGCGCATGTACAATTCTCGGTGTGACCAGCAGCCGTACTGTTGGCGAAGGGAATCAAGCTCTAAACACGAAACAGTGAGGCCATCCAGGCATCTACGACGTGACTGAAACTGGTTCTAATATTGCCAGAGATGATAGCCTAATCCCGCTGATCTTGAATTCTAAGCTTGCTCTTAGACTTAATGTAGTTGCCTAAATCAATTTTGAGAGGGTATAGATTCTACAGTCTTTCGGGAGAAAAAGAAGTGGTCAAGACTCAAATGGAAATCGAAAACTGTGGGGGTTGTGACGGGATCATTGTGGTCATGATTGTTGAAGCTTGTGCTTCTGTCCCCAGGACGTGCTACACAACAAGAACCCGGTAGGTCTGGGAAAGACCACCCGAAACTGAAGCAGTTGAAATGCCAGGTGCCAAGTGGCTTCGGCAGAACAGCTGGCTCAGACCTGACAGTGTGGTGACCACCTCCTTGCTGAGCGGCGAGAAAACTCCTCTGCAAAGCGCCCACCGCAATCTCAAATCAGGCGTGCAACAAAGAACTGCGGCTGAAAGCAGGATCCGGAAATTTTGCTTTGAGATTATTGGGAGCGTTGCGAGGCTTCGAAATCATGGTGATGCCGGGTCTCCGTCGTCCATGTCCGCAACATTGAATGCCTCAATCACCGCAGTGTCCTTCAGGCTTGTTTGCTTTTGAAGAGAAGTTAGGCCATTCAGATTTTGCGTTACCAGTCTGAGGCCTGATCCTGTCCATGTGAGATATAACCACCTCAGCAACTTGTAGATTCACCGTGACGGTCATTGCGCTGGCGATCACTATAGCTATCCTATCTGGTACCATAATTATTCGTGATGGAAGCGCACGACCTGGCTGTCCTTGCGGCGGTTGGTGGACTCAAACACGAAGCCGTCTGAGTCCACATGGGAAGACAGCAACTTGCCTCGACACAGTCTCATTGCCAAGTTCAATCCCTTGCAGGGGAATTAGGCACAGACCGAACACAGCGCATGTTTGCCGCTAAAGGTTCACTTGATTTCACTTAGCAAGCCGCTAGGGAGGGCAACGGCACGCAAGAAATATTTGACGCTGGAAAGCCAAAACTTCTAATGGTACTCGCAGTGAGCACAAAAGCACGGTCCTCGTGATCATCGGAACAATAATGGTGGCAGTCATGTAAGAAGCAAGAGGAGGAGGAGCGCCAACGGCGGTACCAAGCAGCACCAGCAGCAGCAGCAGGAGCTTTCGAATTAGAAGTAGTCGGAGCATTGGGGTTGCCATCCTAGTTTCCTGCTCGCCTCTCTGCTCCCGTCCTGCCCCTCCTCCTCCTCGTCCTCCTCGTCCTCCTCGTCCTCCTCCTGGCTTTTGTCGTGGTTCTGGTCGTGCCTGTGGTTGTTGTCGAAGTCGTAGTCATCATCATAGTAGTACTTCTTGTCAGTGGTAGTTTTCGTGGTAGCAATATTATTACTATTATGGTGATGATTACTTTATTATTTGAAGTTGTAGTCATCGTCGTCGTCGTCGTCGTCGTCGCCGTCGTAGTCGTAGAAGTGAAGTAGTAGTCGTAGTAGCAGTAGTAGTAGTCGTAGTAGTAGTCGTAGTAGCAGCAGCAGCAGCAGTAGTAGTAGCAGCAGCAGCAGCAGTAGCAGCCGTTTAGTAGGAGTAGGAGCAGAAGCAAGAGTAGTAGTAGTAGTAGTAGTAGTAGTAGTCGCCGTGGTAGTAATACTAATAACAATGCTAATAACAGTGGCAGCAGTGGTGGCAGCAGTTGTATCACCAGCACGAAGGGTCGTAATAACAGCAGCCGTTGTGGTGGTCGTCGTTGTCGTAATCGTTGTTGTAATCGTCGTTGTGGTCGTCGTCTTCGTCCTCTTAGTCGTCGCAGTCGTCATAGGCGTCGCAGTCATAGCAGCCATGGTAGTTGTCGTATAGTTGTCGTAGTTGCGTCGTCGTCGTCGTCGTCAACATCATCAT